TTGAGCCTTGGGAATGTAAATTACTGAATTATGCTTGTGCTGCTGACTGGAGAGCAGAGATTACTTGTGACTAGACTAAAGTGGGTGAGATGGAATGGGATCAAGGAGAAAGAGCATGCTGTTGTGCAGCAGACAGATCCTAACACCATTTGGCACAAACAGATATTTGTACTGGCAGCCACAGCAAATCCATTATGGCTGGAGTTATAACTAGGTGGTAGCAAGGCAGTTCTGTATGGATGCTAGAGGGATAAGGAGTGAAGATGAATGTATGGCTGCAGAGAGAGCCAAGGTGCTACAGCAAGTATTTTCACAGAGCACCAACAGCTTCATAATGCTTTCTGTTTTTCTTTGAGAAAATCTTCTGATTTCTAGATGCTTATTCTTAGACAAGAAGTGTAAATCACTTTCTTAGCCAATCTGTAACTTCATGACATTGACCATTAAAAACATTCACCTTCCTCAATTGCAACAGATGAATCTTCCCAAGTAATAAATTACCCTAAAATACATGTATGGTCAGCACCCCAATTTGCCAAATTTCACTACTGAAAATCATCAAGCTCACAAGGATAAACATAATGCTCCCAAATATAGTGAGCAGGAACTTGCACTTGATCATGTTTACAAATTGATAAAGAAACGAATACATAAAAACCCTTATCAAGACCAAAAAAAAAAAGCTACTCTGTGTATATCTGTGCATATATACATGAACCTGTTGGCAAATGCAAAGGAAGTTTTGTGCTAGGGATAGAGACATGATCCCAGGCACATAAATGGCAGAAAGACATAAAATTTGTAGTCCTCTGACATTCGCTTTATTTTAAAGCTGTAATACATATTAAAAGTTACACAGCTGTGTTCAGGCAGGGATACAGTTATACGAGGTTAACTAAGAGTAATTATCTCACATTTTCAAACGCGGAGGTTTCCTTTAATCCATGTGTGACCCATGCTGCCCACTCTCAGCCCCATGCAAGCTTCTTGGTCAGCTGCTCATCCAACAGTGGTTTTCCCACGCTGGAGCTCAGGAACTTCCAAGTAACCTACTCTCCTTCCTGGCTCATAGCTCATCAGGACACAGGGATAATGGCAATACCACAAAAGCTCCCAGGACATAAGCCCCTGCTGCTGTTACTGCAATTCAGTGCAAGCACCACTGGCAGCAAGGAGCCCAACTTGCTTTTTGCTGAGCAGCTGCCACTACAATTTGCTTCGAATTTATACACAGAACTTTGTCCCTGCTGGTCATCATGTAAACAGGGCATGAAATTTTACTATACTTAAAATTTATTTATCCACTATTGTATAAATTAATCTTATATTCAAGGAAAATATAAAAGTGTTTGCTTCACATTCTCTCCTTGTAAAAATATAGTACTTTTTATCCTCTATGAAGTACAAATATACATGCTTCCTCAAAAAAGTCCTAGAGCATTAGGACAGCAAAGATGAACACATACACCATAGGTTCATCTGTACTTTCAAAACGCTTTTGTTTTGGAATGCCAATTTATCTGTAGCTTATTGTACTTCAACCTTCAGAAGGTCACCGGATTTAACTCTTACACCCTTGCCCCTGTCACTTGTCTCATAATAAACATTTGCATTGGTTTCATAACCCAGACCAGCTGGTGGGTTTTATGTACAGTAAGAATGAGAAATTTGACAAAACCAAGTGATTCATCTTCATAATCTGAGTAGGGGCTGGAACCTTCATTAGAATCTTAAAACTATTAATTTATTTTTTCAGGTTGCTGGGCTCGCCTTTTTTTAATTACCATTTATTGTATGCAATCTAAACATTCAGCACTTTTGGTAAGAGCTATTTATTTGATAATTGGAAAAAGCTTTCCTGGCAGGTAGCTTGCTGGACTTTATCTATTTGATACGTGCTCCTGTTCTGCCACAGTGGCAGAACGGAGGAGCAACTGATGTGCTCGTTTGCTTTAAATTGGTTTTACTTTCAAGTTGAAATCATTGAGTGACATGAAGTCTAGAAACGATGTACCAAAAAGAATATAATTAATTTTGGTGGAACACTCAGACTTTGAGCTGAATCCTTTTATGGTGATAACTGTGTACTCCCATTAGTGGCCTGTGCCTTGACTTGGACTGAAGGACAAACCCATCAGGCTTGTTGCAAGAAATAGGGCACAATGCTCATGCAGCAAAGTTTGCCTTAACCACCTGAGATCTTCCACCTGCATTCAAACACCACCCAAAATCAGAGGCTTTTGCTTCCACGGTGGCCAGCAAAAATGGTGGGGAGGTGATATAAGGGGGAAAAGACATGCAGCTGCTGAGGTTAAAATACTGCTATAAGTTTATGCCTTATACTGGCTGCCTTAGGCACAGCAAAACCATGTATTCCATTAGCTATCACTGCATACCTCAGTAGGAAAAGTCCGTACAGTGTTGCCAGCCATGACAACATATGACCTGAAGGGACAGGGGCCTGCAATGTACTGGGGGTGAGTAGACAGACTGGCTGTTTCTACAGTTTCCACAAATTCAAAGTGACTCACTTCAGATGCCCCTTTTTGTAGGCCTTTTGTGGTTTGTTCTGGTTTGGAAGGTGGAGCTCATCTCCATGGTCCCCAGCACCCTCTGTCTTGCTGTGATACAGAAAATTCCTACCCATCAGCAAATTTGAAGGCTAAGTGAAAGCAGACTACACTAGTCAGTTTACATGGTCAGAAGAGCTGCGCTGATTTGTACAAGGAGGTAGTTACAGCATAACTACTTACACACAAACCAAGTAAAGCTCCTGGTGAAAGTCTGCAAGTAGATTGATTCGGAATTCCCAGTGATCGAGCATGGACATCAAAAGCAGAGGACCTGCAGGAGCACTGACTAACTGGCTCTGTTTAGAGAATGTTAGCATGGGAAAACATTGTGCCAAGGCAGCCAAGCATGTTCTGGCATCCATACCTACTTATTCAAAAAGGACTTGGTTATCCCACAAGGCTTGCTATCCATCATGCAGGCATACATGAAACGCAGGCAGGGGGTGGTTTTGGTGTAGTTATCTGCGTATGATATTAATACTGCAGGTTGGGTTTCACCATTTGCTTAGGGCAGGGACGTAACTGATTTACATTGCCTGTGTGCTGCACGTGCCCTTGTAACTCTAAACATTCCCCTTTACTGAACTCCTATACAGCCATAACACCACCTAAGCACCCAGACCGTTGTCCTGTATTTCAATAAATAACATCCTAAGCCATAGGAACTTCTCCAAACATAAAACCTTCCCCATGCCAACAGAAGATGCCACAAAGCTGAATAAGATGCCAGGGAAGTGAAGTGACTGCCTTGACAAAATGTACATCCGCTGTGAGAAAGTTATTCAGCATCCTGCAGTTCAGAACACCTTGCTTTCAAGTTCTGCAAGTCAAATTCACTGGCAGCATCAGGCATCAATCCAAAACAAAAGAATATGAACTGAAATGGTAGAGAATTAATAATCTCTTGTGTTCTTTTCCAATAAAGCCTATACATGGTAAGGATTTTGCTTAAAGATTTGTTCTTTAACATACCTTCTGTGACATTCTGAATCACGGCACAATAGAAAAATCAATTAAAATGACTACTAAATAGCTCTTTATCTGCCACCAAATCATCTTCCTCCACAAGAGAGTATATTTCTACATTGCATTATACTATTATGTAGTATATATAATTATATTATAGCCCTGCTGTTCAAAACAGATTCGACTTGAGATCCTTTAGCCTGCAGCTTCAGAAAAAGGGTGAGCAAGCAAACCATGGGTTTTATATAAGCACAAAATAACTTTTGTAGCATTACTCTAAAACCTAATCTTGAAGACCTTCCCCTGCCCCATGATTTCTGATCTTTATTACAAATGACATGAACCAGCATTTCTGTGGGGCACCCTCCCATCCCCTGCATACAGGCAGAGACTGCTTATCACTCAGTTATCCTGCATTCAAAACTTCTCACTGCAAGAACAGTAGTGTATGTGGACAAATAGACAACAGTAGATTAAAGTTTTAAAGCACAGGGAAATTACTGCACCCTTGAATTTCTGGGAAGCTCAGATACAGTTTCACAGTTGATGGCTTTCTTTTATTTCTCACTTGACCACAGAGATACCATAGCGCTGATAATTGGACTCCTGGTGTGCTGAAACCACCACTTAGCCCTGAAGTTCCAAGTCGATTGCATTCTTGTTTGCTCCATCCCATACACGTACTTCCTCTTTTCTTATTCTTTAGCTGCAAGTGCTCTAATACATTTTAATTCCATTTTTTTATACATTTACCATACCAGGGCTATAGTCCATAACTGACTCCTAAGCACTCCTGCAGCAGCTCAGATTAAAAACCAGAGAAACAAAACCTTTGAGCTCTCGGAATTGCTTGAATCTCAATCAAAACTTTGAGACTTACATGTGTGCTTCACTTTTAATATGTATCCAGTGAAAGTGGAGTAACCTCAGTAAACTTACCTATAACTTTTTCATTGAAGTAATATGGTAAAGAATATGAAAATAGTAGCCAAAATATTTTGATCAAACACAAAGTGAAGGAAATATGAAAGGTACTTCTACAATGGGGAAAAAAATAACACTTCCACATACAGCAAATGATAAAAAGATCTCTTTAGATTTGGCTGAAAGGACCTTACTTAAGGCTTTGCAACTTACACAGCCCTCAAACTTGTCAGATGTAATACCACACGCTGTATTAAAGCCTTTTCTATACAGAACTTTCCTGGACTGATACAAAGGAATTCATAGTGGATATGACAATTTGTAGATCAGAGTTTCATGAGGCTGTTAGAAAAAACCTGAAAGAAATATGCTTGAGTTTATCATTTGACTTCGTCTCTAAATCATACTATGTCAACATTTTATAGTCACTTTCTAGAGCCAAACATTAAAAGAGTTTTCATTTTAATGATTTTTTTTTTCATATATATATACACACATTTCTTGTCTCATTTTATTTCTCAGAAAAAAAGAAAGTACCTTCAAAGTCCCCATCTCTGGCTTTTGCTGCAAGTTCTGAGGAGGAAATACTTTCTTGACATAAAGCACAGTCTTCCAGTGCTGCATTCCTTAAACCCTGATTAACTGTAAAACAAACCAAGAAGTACTTGAATTCTTATATTTCCAATTTGCACTTAAAGCATTCATGTTAGGATGTCTGGATTAGATTACAGTAGTGTCTGTATGTACCTCCTTAGACTTCTTGCTTTTTCCATACCCTGGCTCAGAGTGATTTAGAAGACCCCGTTATTTTTCTTTGGAATGACAATAGAAAGATGCTGTTATTACAGGACATACAGTCCTCTTCTAAACTTCTATCTTAGCTGCATCCTATATTTTATTTCCCAGTTCTTAACTTGGACCCTTTACAAAGAAGTTAGATTATGAGCACAGCTAGAGATTCCCTAGGTGAATCACACATACTGCATCACATATCCCAAAGAAAAACTTCATCCCCAGTCCCTGACTTTTATTTGCTCATTTTGTTTATGCTTACCTTTGTCAAAACCATTTTTTATTCTAATGTAATAGTTCATCCATTAAAAATTATTTCAAGCGAGTACTATTGACTAACATATATTTCCTAGTGATAACTCTTCACAGCTCCATTTTTTTTTTATTACTCTTATTTGGATGTTCAGGAGCTCTTTGATGCTCTCTTTAACTATTCTGCCTAACCCCATTTTTTTCAGCCAGTAGAAAACTCCAGTCTCATTTCACATCATGGCATCCTGCTACCCTAAAAACGTGGAAGTTTCAACCACAAGTAATAGAGGACTGTGATGCATGTTGTGCATTATCCGACTGCAGAGTTTCACTGGATTAGAGGTTTGTCTGCTAACTTTAACCATATTTTTGTAACTTGGTGTTTCACAGAAAAACCTGAATGGTTTTAAAGGAAACTGGGAGAAAGAAAAAGGAAAAGTTTTCAAT